GCTGGGTTGCGTGGGCAGCATGGCCCTCTGGGGGACTGCGGGACTGTCTGGTTTGGGGGTTGGGGGGCAACTGGGGCCAGGCTGACGGGAGACAACAGCAGATGCTTTGGGAAACTTAAGTACGCCACTGGGGCTTTGAGTGCCGGGGCTCTGGGAGGCATCTTCTGACCTACGGGGCATGGTCAAGGACGGGGGAGAGAGGAGCCAAACACCTAGGAGGTAGCATGGGCTGCGGACAAGGACGGTATGACCCAGCTGCTGGGTAGGCACATGTCCTCTTTAACACGTTTTTTTGTGTCCACCAAAGTCTTGGCCACACTGATTAATGTTTTTTTAGTTAGACTTAAAGTCTGCAGTAATTCCAAGAGCTGAGATGCTTCTTGCCAGCCCTTGATCTGTGTAGAGGGAGGTGCAGGCTTCTTCAGGTGGCTTTCCCTCCTCCCCTTTTTCATCCCCACCCTGTCTTATTGCAGCACCAGGTCTCCCAGCCAGCAGCTGGCAGAAACTCACGCCTTCAGAAGCAGATACTGGCGGGGTTTTCATCCACAGGACTCCTGGGCCTAAGGGCAACCACCATATTTACTTCTGAAATTCACACAACAAATTCAGACAATGCATTCAGCATATGTAGAATTATTAAAATTGGTGCCTTGGACATTTCTTGGTCCAAAATCTTGATTGTAATTAGCTTCGACAATTACTGCTAGTGGCTTATCTGTAATTTCAAAATAAGTATTTACTGTTTATGTGAAAAACTACTAAAGAAGGTCACCGCTCCAGGTCTCAAAAGCCTCTGTTGTTGAACCCTATAGCAAATACAATACAATGCAAATCAAAAGTCAGGACAGAATGACTGCCTATCCTCGTACTTTAATGTCTCTGGGCAAGCTCCAAATCTTCTCTGTTCTGTGTGAACCCTACTCTTGCTGCTTTGGGAAGGAGGGAGACTCAGGGCTGTGGTGTACTCAGCAGGGCTGTGAATTCATGGAGAAGGTCTTGCTGGCAATTTCCTTTTTTTGTGTTTCATAGCAGCTCTGCCTAGGTGATTGTGCCGCACTGTTTTCAGTTGTGGCATAGTTGGAGGGTTATCTTGAGCCATTTGGGACTTTGCTGGTGGAAAACAGCATCTTTTCATAGACTGCAGAACACAGGTACCACATTCCTAAAGACATCTTCTGCATGCTTAATGATGCTTCGGCTCTGCTTGGAGAAATATTATCAGTCTGCCTGTAGCAGTAGGGGATGTGCAGCTTGGAGGGTTTTTTTAAGACGTATAGCAAACACCCTGGTCTGGATGCTGTTATACAGCGTGCGGCACTGGCTGGGCTGGAATAACTTTTACGTTCATGTGACTATTAATATGCAGCAGGATAGCTATCTTTGCTGAACCAGAATAGCTGGAGCAGCCCATGTTTTAAGTGTAGACAGGACTGCATGTGCCACATCCTGTGGTAACCTTTATAATGGGCTGGAGGGGTTAGAGCCATCTCAATAGGCTGAGACACTGACTGTGGGAAGAGTAATCATGCTGGAGAGAGAATTGTAGTCCTCTCTTGAAGTGAGCAGTCTGGGTCGCTGCCACTCTGCTATTCCCCCTCAACTTTTATGTGACCTTTTAAAACATCCAAACCTAGTGACTCGATGATAGGCAGATGCCCTCAGCCTAGGAAGTCAGAAAGATCTGGACCTCACAAGCCTGGATTGTGAACAAAGTTGGAGCTTGGGGAAGATCTTTTAAGCGTAGAGTGAAGAAAGATCCTGATCTCTCCCAGTCATTATGAGATTAACCCTCATTCTGCAGACAGGCTTTAATCGGTTTCTAGAGGAGTGTGTGATGAGTCCTCTGTCATTAACCTCTTTGGAGTTCCTCTGTCTACAGTAGATCTCGACAGAGATACGTATCAGTAAGATTAATGACAAACTGAGGGCTGGAGATGGGGGAGAACTGAGAGAGGAGTTACCGAGTCTGTTCCCCCATGAACGAGGAATGCAGGGTTGTTTGGGTGCCTTACAGCCTGGCAAGGTAAATTATCTGAAGTGACAGGACTTCTTCCTTTTCCCAGAGGATCTCGCTTAGGTGTCTTCCATGTGTCAGGGCTATTCTTCATTGCAGACAGTTGGCAGAGTGCAAAGTTTAGTAGTATTTGCCTGCAGATGAGTCAGCGGAAGAGAAATAGCTTGCTTCTGTAAAATGGAATGATCTTGTAGGCAGAACAGCACGTGGCAGTGACATCTGATTATGCTAACGCCTTCCAAGTTCAGCGGGATGGTATGGGAGCCTGAAAGTAGGCTGTGCCATTGGAGGAACTCATGAGCTGTGGGTATCGGAGAGGCCTTGCTGTTCCAGCATGCCAGTCTTGCACTGACTCAGATCTCTGCTGGGAAATGCAGCAGCTTCAGGCTGGAGCGTTTACCACGTTGTGGCACTCACCTCGTTTTGCACGGGCTTTGAGATTAAGTAGTGGGATTCATTCTGCCTCTTCAAGTAAATCTGCAAGCAGAAAGCAGCAGAGGTGGCACAAGAAATCCTACTTCTTCATGTAAATCTGCAAACAATAACATTCTTTAAGAAATTCCTTTGGACAGAAAAACACAAAGAATGCAGATAGGTCAGGTCCTTGTTCCATCAACGTTCCTTGGGTGCCGAAATATCAGATCTGTTTCGTTGGTGGAGTGTGAGGCAAATAGTTCTCTGACACCAAAAACGCATTCGTTCAAGGGTAAACAAAACATCAGTACTGTTCATGAAGATGCATTCATTGAGATAAGCCTTTGGCCAAGCAGTGAGATTTACCGCACCTGTTCTAGGACCTTCTCCATATGCCAGAGGTGTTAACTTTGGTGTTGTGCTTAAATTCCAACTCAGATGATGCTGCAGTTAACTCGCACTAAGGGGAAAAAGTCTTAAATTCCGTCTCTGCCTATATAAATACTTGTGTGTGTGAACTGATGCCTATCATTTTTCCCTCCCAGAAGCGGCTGCATTTTTGTGTCAAATGGCTTGAGCTTTGTAGCATTACTCTCAGCAAAGTGCTCAATGATTTCTGAAGGTTATTCCTGCCATAGTTTAAAGAAAATTCCTATTTCTCCCCTCTACCACTTCCCTCCTTCATTCAGGATCTGTGCTTAGGGGCTGAATGGAGTGATTTCTTGACAAGGGGGGGTGACTCTTCTCCCATCTGGCAGTCAGCTGCACCTCGCAGAGCCATCCAGCTCTCTCCCGAGGTGAGCTAGCTGAGAGGTGATGCAAGGCACTTCCTTGATATAGGATGCAAACCAAAGAAATAAGTTTCGGAAGCCAAGCCCCACGTGCCTCCTAACGTGGCACAGAGACTATGATTTGCCCCATGGGCCCTTCCCTAATAGGATTCTCTTTAACGTTGCTGCTGGTGCTCATATTCAGCACAGACTCAGTCAATGCAAGAGGGTGGTGTCTTAGACCAGAAAGAACAATGCTAACGTTTTGCAACAGAGCCCTTTCTTCTGATTCTGCCAAATTTTTATCTTTTAGTTTTTCAGAATGAGCTCTCTAAAGGAACCTCCTCTTCCCCCTTCCCCATCTGTTGCAAATGTAATTAATTTTAGAACGGGCAAGTGTTTTACTCATTTGGGGAAGCGAAGAGAGTGTGTGTTCATGTGTTAAGCTCAGTTATAGATGCTGGATCCCATTGTTACTTAGTAATTGTTTAGGGTGCTATTTTAGTCCTTTGGGTCGAAATAAAATAAGATGAGTAGCTTTACTGCAGTGAGGTACAGCTTGCTTTTTAAGAACAAATTATTTCTAGTTTTTAATGAAGGCAGGTTTGATGCTGGGAAGACTTCCGAGAAACACGCTAGCCACAGGGTAGAGGTTTTAAAGCTCGGAAGAGTGGTAAAATTATTGTTTAATTTCCACATTAATTTGGGTAATTAACAGAGCTGCGTCACTTGTGAAGCACCGAGCACCCAGCCCAGCTCTCTGGACACTGCAGAGGCTCCTTGAGCAAGATCCAGCCTGTAACATCAGAGCAGAGAGTGCATATTTAAACCATCCTCAAAGCAGGGTTGCCTCCCTGGGTGGTTTGCAGGTGGAGTCATTTTAATGCTGAGAGGCTGCGCAGCTGCCGTCCCCTGGGCCCTCGAAGCCAAAGCAGGGCAGAAAGGTGCCACCTCGCAGCTGCAGCCTAGTTGCACTTCAGAGCAGATTCCCTGTCAGCTTTTAGCGTCTGACCATTGCTGCCTGTCATACACAGCAACTCTATTCACTTAAGCTATTGTTTGCTATCGTTTGACCCTCTGCACCTGGAGAAATGGAAAAGTAAGTAAGGGCAGGGGAAAGAGCGTGGGTGGGTGCGGAAGGGGTTGGAAGAGGCTCTTGGAGATTTCAGCTGCGCTTGAACAGTGTTTCTGTACAGCAGGGTAAAGCGTGGTGTCATCCTGTGCTCGCGCCTGCAGTTCTGCAGCTGGTCGCGGCCGATGCACCAGCAGCAAAATGCTGGTGGTATCTCAGAAAGAGAGCGTGCTTGTGTATTGAGATGTGCAGGGAAGTCTGGTTGCTCTGATGGGTCAGGCTAACATGGAAACAACCTCGCTTGTTGGTGCTTGGAGACTGATATATCTGTACTCTAGCACCAAAGCCTGCGACAGTGCTTTTTAGTGTCTTGCCGAGGAGTTGCTCTGCAGTGTCTTGGAAGGAGCGCCTTCAGCATGTTAACAGACCTTTTAATTGTTTCCCAAGAGGAGGAAAGTGAGGGGTCAGAGAAGGAGGTGACTTGGAGCATCGTGAAGTTATTTTGATCAAGTAACAAGAAAATCTACAGCTGTTGTCCCGTATAGCGTCCATGAATGTTAGGTTCCTTGAGCCAAAGAGGTTTGTTTGTTTTACTTGAACTGCGTGGTTTCTGATAAGACCATGGTGGTGAAATAAATCACTGATACAGAGTACACTTGTGAGATGGCACTGTGCAAAACCTAAAAAATGCTTATTTCATAGCCCGTGTTTTCAAAGGCACTGTGGAAGCTGCTGTGTTTATAGCATCCCTGTGCATGCTTGTTACACTAAAGATCCAGGATAACTTGCATGAAAGCTAAGGGTTTGCTTAAGAGTTTGAAGACATTGAGCTTAAGGCTGTAAACTCTTTGTGCCTGAGATTGCTTTTGCACACTCCAGTATGTTTGTTGTTAGGAAATAGTAAATAAATTACAGGAGTAGGGGAATCTCGGCAAACTTCACCCCCAGGCATTGTGCATGAGTGCTGGATGGATCATTCGGTTCTGAAATGTCTATGTGACAGCCTTTCCCCTCTTCCCTTTGGAAGAGGGTTTGGCTTTTCCAGCTATTCTTCAGTGTCACTTTTGTCTTCTCCTGAATATTTTTTGGCTCCCCAGTCATCTGAGATTCTCTTTTGCTCTTCTTAGTGGATCATATTAGATCTAACATAGTAGTTTGGGGTGCCTGTATGCAGGTAGCCCAAAGCCAGTTCAGCTGTGTTTGGCCCTAACGTGGTTCGTGAAGTATCTTGTGGATTCTAGGAGGGGAGTTGTAAGGGAGTTCTCTCTCATTTCAGTTCACATGTTATTAAACTGCACTTGATTTCTTACTTTGGAACATTCCTTAACTTGGAGTCGTTTGTGCTTGAGTAAGTCCACTCGTTAAATCTGCATCTTAACAGCTCTCTTCCACAGTGTTCATGTTTCTTGGTTGCTGAACACCAGAGCTTTGCCCCATGGGCCTTAGTGAGGACAGTCCCACTAGTCCTGAGCAGAAATGCTTGGCAGAGACTGGGGCGCGACTGCGTGCCCCAGAGGAGAGGGATAGTGTTCGGAGGGGCACCTGCCCTCTCGTATCTCATACCGGGTGTTCTTGCCCCACCTAACATGTTCCAGCACACCCGCTGTGTGTGGGTGGGGAGAAGCTTTGAATGTCGCACAGCTCTCATTATTAGGGTGCAGAGGCAGGCGCGTAAGCATCATTCCTAGGCAGAGGGGTCATGCTGCTCTCAGGAAAGGCAGGACAGGAGTGCCATTTGCTGCCCTGGAGTTCTGTACGCTTCAAGTGAGCAAGATGGGAAATACCTTGCTGCTACTCTTTAGCCTTAAACTTTGCAAGTACAGCACCTGTGTCTAACTGTTGCTGCAGCTGGAAAAGGGAACGTTTGCTGCCATGCGTTTGTATAAATCCCTAGCTTTCCTTCAACACCATGAAATGCTAAGCTTCCTAATGGTCCTGGGCCCTCTTAGGAAGGTAGCAGTGTGTGAGGACTCCAGTTCAAAAGCAGGGATGGCTTAACTCGAAGTAGCTGTCACAATTTCTGTTCCAAACTGGCTGGCTGGCTGTCCATTCATCAGAGAAGCAGTTTAATTGAACTGCCATTAATTACAGTTTGGTACATAAAGGGAAGCCAGAATTAAGTGCACCCTAATGTGTCATCTGTAGCTGCTTCACAGTCAGCTGAGTCACCGCTGCAGTGGGGACAAGAGGGGATCATGGTGGCAGCCACCCCAGGGTGAGCTGTCCCCACTCAGGAACTGCAACTCACTGTCACGCAAACGGCAAAGCAAACTGCAAGCGATCTAGTTATTTAAGTTGTGACCGTGGCTTGTTCCCTCTTCCCTCCTTTCCCCACCCGTATTGTTCTGCTTAAAATCACTGCCTTCTCTCTTCAGGATTGTACAGGGACCCAGCAAACCAATCGGCTGTCCTGAAGGCGGGGAGGGCAGAAGGGTATAAGAGCATTCGCATTCAGGATCATCAGAATGAGAGCTGGGGGAGGGCTGAATGTGGACTGGGCATACCTTAGGCTGCCTTTCAGATGCTAAGGTAGCATAATTAGCCTTGCACTAGTGATTTATAACTTGCATTGCAACTCTTGTGCGAGTTTGTCTCTAGCCAGCTGACTGCTGCACGCTTTTCTCTGCAGAGCAGCTCTGAGTTGCATTAAATGGTTCAGTATTCCCACCAGGCACTGTTTGTCAAGCCTTGGCAGCTGATGCCAAATACAGCTGGCTAAGCCTCTTGTTAGGTGGCTGTGTCTTTGGGCTGACCTTCTGTGCACTGAGCCTGTTGTTGACTGATTTTTTGCCTTGGGAGAGCTGAGAAATACATATTTTTTTTCTTTTCTTTTCTTCATTTTATTCTGGTTCTTATTGGATGTGCTTGACAAGATGGAGCCACCGACCTCCTCCAGGCTGAATTCCCGAAAGAGAAGAAAAGATGGATCTGGCCCCAATGGGGCAACAGAACCGGATGGAATCCCTCCAAAAATGTCGCGGTGCTCATTTGTAAGTAAAGAAAGACGCTGAGCTTTAGATACCTGGGAGAATTAGGACACTGAAGTCGTAAGAGCAAAAAGAGAAAAGTGATTTTTTATTTTGTGAAGATGCAGAGAACAAGGGAGAGAAAAAAAGCAAATGACAGTAGCTATCCCTCTTGCAAAGCCACTTTGAAATCTTTCTTTACTCTTACTAATAACATACTTACAACGGGGGCTTAAATTAGGTCTGAGGCAAGCATCACTAAGCTGCTTTTGTGGTGCGTCCAGATTGTTTGTAGTAACTTAATCTGTGCCCAAACAGGCGTGCATACAGATATGTACATACTATAAATAGGGAATAATCATTGTTTTTTCATACGTGGGTTTTCTTAGCGACCCAGGGGAGGGAGAAATATTCCAAGCAAGCATGTTATTACTCGTGCACCTAATAGGAAGTGTTTGGTCCTGTTCAAGTCAGGGGAACTGCAGATAGGCTTGAGATTTGTGAGCACCTGCAGAAGGAATCTACTGAAACCACTGTTCTAAACACCAGGAAGATGACTTTGCTTTTGATTCACCTAGTCTGGCAGGAGACTGTATTAGTGTTAACAGTACTTCAGGAGCGTTCAAAAAAAAAAAATCCTTCTAGATCAAGCTTGGGATAGCTTTATGAAGATAAAACCAATGGTCTCTCTTCTAAAGACTATGTCAGTTAATTCCAGTTTGAAGAGTTGACTTTATCTTGTCCTTGCTGCAATATTGCGATGATGGGCTTTTTACAGCTCTCCTCTGCCCCCTTCCTGGGGCTCTCGTGTGTATCACGTGCTCTCTAGTTGCTCTTTCCTTATCGCTGTCAGAAGCCAGCTGCCATCTATTACACGTCATACCAGGGTCATAGTCCTTGGTAAAATATGGTGATGTGTTGCAGCTTTCCTCTCTTTGATAACAGAATTTTGCTCTTCAGGAGTGCTTTAGTCCTGTCCCAGGGTATTTGACAGATGATAATGAAATGAGCAGCCTGCAAAATGCAGTGAGAATTGGGAGGGGCAAGCGCTGCAAACAGAGGCTTGAGCTCGAGTCCCACAGAGCCTTAGTATCCTTGGCTTTTGTCAAAACCCACCCTGTCCCTCCTGAAGACCCCATATCTTTCAGAGAGGAAAAAGAGGCACAAGGCAGAGGCATAAGTTTTTTCCATGGGAATCTCTTGCTTTTGAGGTTGGTGTCTGTCCTGTGTTAGAAATAAAGCATCTGTCTATGAGTAGAACAAAACAAGTAATATCCAGCCACCCTCTAAACTTCCTGGATGTTTTTTTAGCCACAGGGCTAGTGCAGCTCCCCTGATGAGAGGGGTTTTTTTTTTTTTTTCCTTTTTTGAAACATGTATTTAATGTAGCAAGGGTAGTAGAGTTGCCTAACTATGACGTTACTTCAAAGCCCTTACAGCTCCTGACTAAACAGCTGGCTGACGGAGTGTCCCCCTGAAGCAGCAGGGCTCTGCAGCAGATGGTAGTAACAAGCCTGCTGGCCCATAAGCCCATTGTATTGTGTATGTCAGGTCGTGTCCTGACCCTCACAGGCGATGCAGAGGAAGGGCAAGATTGAAAGGAGCTTTTGAGGGCATTTCTCTGTGATCCTCTGACAGTTTTGATTCTGATTTGCTTTTATTCCTAGCTTCATATCGGGTATGTGACAACCAAACTGCAAAGAATCTCATTTTACTCTCAAGTCCTAGATATAATGGCTGTGATGAAAGGAGAGGAGCACAGGCCTTACTTAACAGTAAAACTGCAAAAGTAAAAGCAAAAAGTATGGAAGGTAGGCAGTTCATTGCAAAGGCAGTAGGATTGGGTTGGGCAAATTAACTTTGTTCTTTTTAAAGTAAGAGCTTAAAGTCTCTGAAGTACAAGCAGGTGTATAGTAGTAGTTCTCCAGAGTTCTCCAAGAACCTCATGCGGTAAAATCTGGGATCTTGATAGAGAAAATGATATAGGAAACATGGGTACCAGAGCCTCAGTAAACGTTCTTGTTTTTGGAGATTTTCAGCAACATCACTCTACTTGAATGCAGTGGCGAGTGGTCGTTTTCCTATGCGCTTCCCTTGGAGATATTTCATGACGAGCGACATTAACAATAGCAGCAGCGATCCTTCTGGGTGCAGTGTTGCTGTGCACCATGGCAAGATGCTGCAGCGGGTCAAGAAGTGAGGGAGGAAACTGCTCATTAGCTTTTTACAGCTTAAAGGTGCTATTGTCATGATCTGCAAGCTTGTTTCCTTCTCCTTTGACTCAGGAAGGAGAAATCCATTGCTGCCCCATACCTTCCCGCTAGAAGGAAATTGAGCTGTTTGTTCCATTATGGGAAGGGCAGCAACAAAACTGTTCCCATTCAGAGGAGAACATGTTCAGAAACAATACCTGGACTTCAGTTGCTAATTTAACATACCACTGTAGACAAAGCAGTAGATTAGAGGAGATTTCCTGGAGCACTTGGATGAGTTCTGCCAAAGCTCACCATCAGTCTCTCACTGTGTTGGGCTCATAAATGGGTAGTGATGCACACGTTCCTTGGGGATTCATGCTGCTGTTGGTATTGCTCTTCTGCTGGTTCCTGTACTCAAAGCGAGGAGCCATTAAATCTGTACGTCACAGCACAAGCACTCGAGTACAGCAAAGTGGCTGTCTTGCCTGAGTGGGCAGAGCTGAAGCTGTGACAGCGAGGTTTGCTGAAGCTTGACTTGTGCTATTGTGAACAGGCTCGGCCCGTTCTGACAAACAGCTGAAGTTTTTTTAGGGGTCCCAGCGTGAGTTACCATCTCCTTAACTTTACTTCTCTCTTTCTCTCTCTCTCTCTCTCTCTAACTAGCTCAAACTAATCACCTTGCAGAACTGTTTTGAGGTTTAACACTAATTAGTTTTTTGATATATGTGTATGAGTCTTGCAAAGACACAGTGAGTCGCTTAATGGCACTGCAGTTGCATTGCTGCCGCTACGTAATTCACTCACCTTTGTGTTCTCACAACTAACCTTCTCTGGTTGTTTAGGGACTGAGAGAACCAGCTCCGTTTTCAGATGAAGTGGAAATCGATTACAGCAAGCCATATATCAGAGTAACATATGAAGAAGCGATGAGAGGGACCCCTTGTAAGTAAAACCAGACTGGAAGGGTATTGTATAAATACTGAGTTTTGGGGGGTGGGAGGGTGGGATGTGTGACTTGGGTTTCCCTGAGACTGATCCAACCTTGTATGTCAGACCGTGTTTGCACCCAATGATTTAGTTAATGCTCTGGTGATAGATGACTGTTCCCGTGTCAATTTGAGCCTGCCAATCCCAACCGAAATTAGAACCTCAGTTTGTGAGGAGTTGTACATACACCAGTAAGATGAGTTGATGGAAATAAATATTCATGTTTTAGCTCTTCCAGTGCCACTGGCAGCTATAGGGTAGCATCAGAGCTGAACATTTTTCTGTACTACTTTGTTTGAGGCAGCTTAAAGTTGGGCAGCAATTTAAAAATCATCTCTTTGAAAGGAGCAAGTAAAACTGATGCACACCTTTTCCCCAAATATCCCTTTCTAGCCTGGATTTAGTGTCATTGTCATTGAACACAATTGGCCAACCCCACACCAAGAGCACGCCACTATATTCTCTGAAGGAGATTGGGAAAAACACTATTATCTTTGCAAGTCCATAGGGGGAGGCAAAGGGGAGGGCTGGCTCCTTCTGAAGGGAGGCTGTCCTCTCTTGCCAAGCAGTGTGTGTGGACAGTGCTGTCTGTCTTGGCCTCTCTGTTACAAAGACCCTGAGACAAAAAAAATACCGTGCTTGTAATTACCTGACTGTTGCCGATGTTGAGAGGTAAGCCAACTCTAGGACCTGGCAGCAGTTTCCTGCAGGAAATCCAGTCTCTGGAAATCCAGTGCTTTTCATAGTTCACATTAGTTTCCCAGCTGAAAGTCTCCAGAGTTTGCACAGAGGTTTCTGATGTCAACATTGACGGCTCCTCCTGCTTGTTGAGACTAAAATACACTGCATGCTTCCTTGCTGCTTTTTCTGCCTGTGCTCAGGAACCGTAGTTGTGGCATGTATAGAGGAGTGGGGGAAATGTCCCAAGCCAGTTTCCAGAACATGACTGAACTTTAATAAAGGCACGCAAGGACCAGCCCTCTTCTGGCGTGCAGGAAGCTTTTACAGTCTCTGGTCTCCAGCTTATTGGCTCTTTGGAGCGTCCTGGCACCATCAAACTGATATTTGTTGACAGGTGATTGTAAGAGGCTGTCCTCAAACTGACTCCTCTCCTTAGCTTGAACTTAACATCCCTGCATTTACGTCAAGGCGTCCTCTTGCTGCGTCGTGTGCTCTGTCTCTAGGCACCTTCATGGCCCTGCCTAGATCCATGAAGGTTCAACTCTCCTGCTAGTTTTTATCTCTGCCCCCTTCCTCGTTGTAGCTCTGCTGTGCCTGTGTTTGTGCTGCTCCTCCAAGTCTGCCTGGCTGAATTGGGCCATAAAGCAGGCCATTCCCAAGTGTGTCAAATACCAAGAACGTGTGACTTTGTTATTGGCAGCAAGAGAGCTGGAGTCCTCCGTGGTCCTAGGAGACCAGAAGTCCGAGAGTCTCCCGCTATTACATGGTAGTACTAGACTATCTCACTTGACCTCAGTGCTGACCTCATATAGAAGAGCTACCTTGGCAGAGGTGACTGGAAGAAAGCTTTGTTCCTCCTTATTTGTCTATGGATTTAGTTGACGGCACCAATAGGTCAGCAGAATGGGATCTGGCTTCCTTTCTGAATAGCCCAGCTGGGTCTCCAGGTACAGCCACATGCTTCATGGGACTGGTGGGAGTCCATGATGCTGGTGTGGAGCCAAAACAATCTGGTATCTTGAACAGACTGCTAGCTGTGGCAGTGGGCTACAGAGAGGAGGATGCTGAAAAGGTCTTGAGATGCCACTTTGGCTGGCAGGGGGAATCAGGCACCTATGAAACGTTTTGGCCAGTTCCCCTTCTGGTAGCTTGCTGCTGTGCAGAAAGTTAATGCTGCGTTTGGATTTCCACAGGAAGGGATGATCAGAGTTTGCTTTCCCCCTGGTCTCCCTTCGCCTTTTCTGGGGGTATGCGTTAGGTTTTGAATCAGCCTTTGAACATGGTTGTATTTCAGCTCTGTGCTCAGGTGCATTTGTTTCCGTTTGTGAAGGAAAAGAGCCATCCATTTCTCTTCTCAGATCTTTCCTGGCTATGGCTCTGCATTCTGACAGTTTTCTGCAGCTCCCCCATGAGCTTCAGAAGGTCCCCAAATGCAGGCATGAGCTACAGCTGCTTCTCCAGCAATGGATCTTCACGAATGTGTCTGTCTGTCTGTTTGGCACAGTGGAGCGCCCTGTCAGAGTTTACGCTGATGGAATATTTGACTTGTTTCACTCTGGACATGCACGGGCCTTGATGCAAGCAAAGAACCTCTTCCCAAACACATACCTCATTGTGGGAGGTAAGGAGTGATCTTATTGACTTTGGCTCTCTTAGGAGTGTCTCCGGTGTTGTGCATACAGATGGCACAACTGGGTTTTTGTCTTTTCTTTATGGCCGTGGTGGTTGTTGCTGTAGGCAATTGTTACAACCCCCGCTCTGTTGTTGGAGTCTTGTCGCAATATGTTGAGAGTCGATAGGTCTACAGAAAGAAATCCTGTACCAAACGAGCACAAAAGAAAAAGACTTCTCACCCCACTGCTCTAACTCGGCCGCTCTATTTTGTCACAGATGCTATTGAGTTGCACATCTGAGTATCAGGAAAAATACTAGGGGCAGTTGAGCATCTGCCTCTTGACTGAGCCAGTTAAAGAATGAGGAACAGTCCCTGCATAGCTGGTTCAGCTTTGCACAATCTTTACCATCTTGCACATTCCCCTCCTGCTCCAGATCTGTGCTGGATTTTGCTTTTGACCAATTCAAAAAGAGCACGGAGAGATAATAGTGGTTCCTTGTGCACTTGATTGGCCCCATGGAAGTCTGTGAGGCCCCTTTTTACCAAATAAAAGTTTCCCACTAGGCTCAAAGCTCTTTAGATGATAACAGGAATAACCTGTGACTCCCTGAGAGGATCTAGCAGAGGTTTTTGAGCCAGACCCCTTCAAAAATATAAAGAGAAAGAGGAAACCTTTTCTTCTGGCTTCTGTCCTGTGCTGGCTTCTGTCTGCACAGTCCTCTGTAGCCATACTTTCATCCACCTTTCTGGCATGTGGTACCAAAGACATGTCAAACTGTGGGTGTTGTCTATCACAAAGTGACCTCTAGTGAGCCTGTGTTACAATCTTAAGGTGTCAGAGCTAGAAGTACTTCTGACTAGTTTTCTCAACTACCACTAGCTTGTTCATGTATTTTTTGTGTGTGTGTGTGTGTGAGCTATAGTAGTGCCTAGAAGGGGATAGGAAAGAGGAGAGGTGAAATAGTGGCTCAAATCTATACAGTGTTCTGAGTTTAGAAATCTTGAAGGCTGAATTACAAACCAATGTACTTAAATGTTGTATAGCAGTCAGAAAAATAACATCAGGACAAACTATCGTAAACGTGTTAATGTAGCAAGCTGTGTAAGCGTGCCATCTGCCTCTGGGAGTCTGGTGAGGAGGTGGGGAGCAATGGGATGCTTTCCTTGCACCAGGAACTGAGAGAGACGAGAGGCTACAGCCCAAGTGAACGTTGGCTTCAAGCTGGGAGCAGTCTCACCCTCTCTTTATCATCTATTTATCTGGAGCATGGATGCATCCAATACCAGTGAGACTGGTAATGCCTTGTTTACTTTTGAGTCCGATAACCAAATAAACCTCCTTCCTCAATGTCTTACACGCAGATTATGAAGAGTTATTTGTTTACTTTCTCATAGATCCTGATAATTAAACTAGCTTGATTTGCTGTGAACTCGCTCTTCGTTTTAGTAAATTTTTCCCAAGAACTAGAGTATGATACGGTGTTTTATGAAATCAGAAACTGAAACCTATGGAAGGTTGGGGGGGGGAGGGGGGACAAGCAGGTTTATCCTAGGTAGAGCCCCATATGCTATTTCATACAGAAAGAGAGTTGTCTTCTGTATTGACCAGTTTTCTTGGTTAGCGTCATAGTCTCTAGAGTCCTGGAGGGTTTGGGGTGTAGATCCCCAGCTTGGACAGAAATCCCCCAGACGCTTTGCCAATTTCCTGTGATAAGCCTGAGTAGAATTGCCCAAGAGCTTAATGCCCTGTCACCACTCCCAGTTCCTGGTGCTTTGTGGCTGGAAGAGTCAAGTTTGAAGGTGCCAACTTCTGTCAACAGCTGGAATTGCCTAGCTTGGCAGGTACAGCAGGGGTGTGGGCAGGGTCCTTTTGCTGTGAAGTACTGGGGTGAACACCTCAGACTCACTCTTGTCTGTGCCTGTTTCTTCAGTCTGCAGTGACGAACTAACCCATAACTTCAAGGGCTTCACAGTAATGAATGAAAATGAGCGGTACGACGCTGTACAGCACTGTCGCTATGTGGATGAAGTGGTGAGAAATGCACCGTGGACACTCACACCGGAGTTCCTGGCAGAGCATAGGGTAATACATGGTATCTTATCTGTTTTGAATTTTGATTATCCCTCTCTTTGCAGCAAGAGTTCATCCGTGGGCTTGATCCCTGTCTGAGCAACTCATTTCTGTTTAAAATCCTTAAATACAGAATGAGTTGGGTTATGGGAACCAAGTCAATTTCTTGGGAGATTAAAAGCATTAACTGATCTGGAAGGTAATGTTGAAATAAAATGGAGACTGTGACAAAGTAAAGAAGCCAGAGGGGGCAAGACGATTCTCACTGTTCCAGGAGAATTTGATGCTAATGACAGTTTGTTGTGAAACAAGCAATAGGGAAGGGATAGCATGGGTTGGAAGGGATTTCTGGAGGTCACCTGGTCCAACCCACTACTTACAGGAGGGCAAGTTTAGATCTGTGTCAGCTTCCCTGCAGCAAGAGACCAGGCAAGCTGTCTTTTCAGCCCTTTATTAGTAGGAAAGATAAAGTGAAAGGAACCTCTACCATCTGCTGAACTGCTTTGGGAGGTGAAGGAGTTTGGGGTGTCCAGAGCAGTTTGCTCAATTTCCCCTGGCTGCCATTAACAAGTCATTTCTTTGTGGAGCTTAAAGCAGCTGTATCCTTAGTCTCAGCTCTTCTTCTTTGATGTGTGCTTGCAAGCTTGATTGACATGCGGTTGCCAGTAAGAACTTAGGACTGCCCTGCATTGCTTTTTCCGTTTACTGAAAGCATCTTGCTGTTCTTTATCACGCCTCTGTGTGGAGGTGTTGAGCAGGAAGTAGCCAGCCTTTTACAAAAGGCATGAAACCTGCATGTTCAGTGTAAAATCTTGACTTGCATTGCTCTCTTAATTTTCAGATCGATTTTGTTGCACATGATGACATCCCCTATTCTTCTGCTGGCAGCGATGATGTTTATAAGCATATAAAAGAAGCAGGTGAGTCTGGGTCAGGTTCTCTAGGGACTCTTGTCCAAGATGAGTAGTTTCTCCTCTGCTCCTGTAAGGCAGATTTATGTCAGGGAAGAGACTGACACTGCGAACAGGGTCCCCCCAGGAGGCTCTAGGGGCAAGAAGGAGCCCAGCTTTGGGCCGTAGTTCATAAGGCCAGGACTGTTCTGCATCCCAGGCCGCAGGATTGCCCTGCATTAATCTGTGCTTCCAGTCTAGTTATTGTGATTGAAGTAACAACCACCTTTCTGGAAAAATATTCTGGCTTGGTTTACAGATTCCTACAAATGGAGAATGTGGCATGAACTTTGCAAAGTAGTTCCTCTAGCTGATTGCTGTAAAACTCAGTGGGGGTGCAGCTTATTTAAATCTAGCTTCAAACCCAGTCACCGGAGCTCATGACGTTTCTATCCGCTAAACTGTGGGAATCCTTTTCTCTCCTGTCCTTGTTTCCGCACTGCTCTAAAGGCAGTAGGTTATAGATAATAGTCTTTAAACCAGCTAAAGCAAAGAGTTGGAGCTTTTAATTAGAAGGCATGTTTTGACACTTGCTTAGGTCTCCCTTAGCTTCTCCTCATCCTCCCAGAGAGGAGGACCCCCAGTATTGTATATTCAAGGGCAGACATGTGGTGGAGCGAGGACAGTTGGGAAACATGTGCTTGACAGGAGAGGTTGTTTCTAATAGAGGTGGCAGCAGCTTTTTGCCATCTATCTTGCTACAGCTGTCCTGGGTCCTGTTCCCCAACTCTAGGCATGTTTGCACCAACTCAGAGGACCGAGGGGATCTCAACATCGGATATCATCACCCGAATTGTGCGGGACTATGATGTTTATGCCAGAAGAAACCTGCAAAGGGGCTACACAGCTAAAGAGCTCAATGTCAGCTTCATAAATGTGAGTTGAAGTGTATCTTACAACGAGCTGCATGAAGCAGAGTCTTGGAGTGTGTGGATGCAGATCCTTGCCTAGTGGGAGCACAGTCCTGCCAGTAGATGGCAATCTGCAGAGCCTAAGCAGTTGCTCCAAATTGGTGTCCTTATAGGAGAAGTCAGGCTTCTTCCTTCCCTCAAGCTTTTGCTGTGAAGAGCAGACCCACCCAGAGGAACTGGGGTTTTGTTAATGTTGCTCCGTTGTCAGAAATGACAACGTGGTGGCATTTTACTTGTTGAGAGAATTGAAGATGGGGTGAAATACGTGTTTTCTTCAGTCATATGAAGTGTCTGTTGTGTCTCATCTCTCCCCCTCCCTCATCTGACTTCCTAAGAAAGAGTCGTTCTTTTTAGGATTAAATCCGATCTTGTTCTTGCTGCGCTATTCTCCTCCTTAGAGCCACAGGAGCAGCAGCGCTTGGGTAGGGGTACATGCTCCAATCCTATCCTGTGCAACTCTTAGCATACAAGCAGGATATGTGGGAGAAGGCTTTTCTAATACTGGAAGTAAGGTAGTAAACATTCCTCTTACCACCGAGACAGATACCGTGTCTATTTTGTAAATACAATGAAATGCAAAAACTGAGCCTGGAGAGGTTTTGGCTGCCTGGCCTTTGGCGTATATCTCTGCCTCTGTTTAAGAACATCCAGCAAAAAGACTTGCGCTATAATGATATGCAAAGCGATATCTGACAGCAGGTCAGAGTAGTCAAACGTGTTCTGTTTTTTCCTGACTCAAACCTAATCTATATATTATATAAATATTTCCCTCTTCCATGCATTGCTCTTAGATAGTGGTTATCTGTAGGTTTAGTCTCACTCTGCTCTGTGTCAGTGCCTGACACAAAGCATTTCACAGCCCCGCTATGTGTCTGCCATTTAAGTCTAGGAAAGAAATGTTTTTGAAGTGAAAGAGAAGTGTCATGAAACTAATGGAGATGCTGAGTCTTAAGCAACTGTTCAGTGTAATAACACAGAGCAGAGAGGGTCGCCACTCAAATCTGGTGAGCCATGTTCTGATCCACCATTTCTCTGCAGGAGAAGAAATATCACCTCCAGGAGCGTGTGGATAAGGTGAAAAAGAGGGTGAAGGATGTAGAGGAGAAGTCAAAGGAGTTTGTCCAGAAAGTGGAGGAGAAGAGTATTGATCTCATTCAGAAGTGGGAAGAGAAGTCCCGGGAGTTCATTGGCAATTTCCTGGAGATGTTTGGCCCAGAAGGTGCATTGGTAAGGAGCCTGTCCGGGAGAAGGGGGAAAGGGAATTTCAGAGAGCTTAGCAGTCAGCATCAGGTCTTCTGGAGCCCAGGCTCTTCAGAGCAAAGGCCTCCAGTTTGTCACAGCACTGGGTGTGCTGTTGTCTCCAGACATGTTCTGCCCCAGGCCACAGCACATGGTTGCAGGGAGCCTTGCCAGCTGCCTAAAGCCAGTTACGGCCATAGCATGAGAAGTCTGTGTTTCCCAGGAGCTGGTCTGTAAAGTCCAACATGTGTCCTGAAGGCCACTGAGCAACCAAGAGTTTCACAGTTTTCACCTTGTCACTTGCCTGGGGATGGGTCTGAAGCTGCTTGTGAAACAGTTTTGCTAGGGTGTCCGCAATGCTGGCAAAATATCACAGGCAGTTCATGCTAGAGGTGCTGGAAAATGAGTGGTGATGAAATGGGCAAGTTTCCAAAGGCTCGAGCTATGCTTGGGCTTTGCCATGCTCTTATGCTGCACGAAGTATCGAAGGGGGACAACAGCTCAAAATGTGGCGAGAGCTGTAGGTAGTGTTGTTTTGCATCGCTGTTTGAGCCATGTTAACTGCCTTCCTGCTTCCATCACTAGAAACACATGCTGAAAGAGGGCAAGGGCCGGATGCTGCAGGCCATCAGCCCAAAGCAGAGTCCCAGCAGTAGCCCCACGCATGACCGATCCCCATCTCCCTCATTCCGCTGGCCCTTTTCAACCAAGACTCCTCCTTCCTCACCGGCCAACCGTGCCAGGAACGAGTCCACAGTCACCTATGACATCAGTGAGGACGAAGAGGATTAAGCTACCAGCTGGGGTTTGCTGCGAGTCGCTGATCACCGAATCCCAAGTCCAGACCCACTGGGGAACTCTGAATGAGCAAGAGAGCCATGGGAGCAGGGCTGACAGTGGGCACGGGGCCCTGGAGGCACCTGTCGCTCTTAGCAAGGGTTGCTGCCTGGAAGCACATTCAAATATCTTCTCCTCCTCCCTTCTCCCTCAAATTCCCTTTTTATTGTTTACGTTCTAATGGTTTCCAGGGGAAAGATGGTTTTTATGTTTTAAGGAAGTACTCTTTTTAAAAAACACAAAGAATAGCACTCAAGCATGGATCTTGTTTTTTGTTTCTTTTCCCCTGTTAAACCTCCAGGTGAGAGGGAGAGTGGGATGCTATGCCCAGACCTTTCTGTCCCTCCTTTTCTTCTGCTCCTCTGTCTTATTCCTCCCATGCCCAGGCAGTATCTGTGCCACTGCCAAATGAAAGATCTTGCAGTTCTTCAACCAGTGTGACCTCGAAAGCGTGCAGGAAGCAGTTGAATACAAAGGCTACTAGGAAATAGAGACATCTCTGCTGCACTGGAGCCGACAGGGATCTATCTGATGGACTGTGTAGTGCTCTAGTGTCTCTTAGCTGAGCTTACCAGCATGTTGCAGTGAAAACGTGCTGGGGAGTGGGATACCAACTTGGCATGCAGATGGTAGGCCCTGTAAGAAGTTGCAGCACCACAGAATCCTTCACCCTATAAGTGTGCAGCATTTGCAACTCCAAATCTTTGAGGGCTGCAGGAGAAGGGTCTTTCCAGCTTAGCTTGACAAGGCTGCTAAAACTAGAGCTAAAATTCAGCCCACAGTTGCTGTTGGGGAGAAGAGACTAAATCTTTTCTTCAGAGCACTTGCTGTCTGCGTGTTTCCTTGGGTGTGTGAAAGACCACGTAGGAAATGAATGTGTGTGCTCCTTTGAAAAGTTTCTTGTCGCAGTCTCTGGTGTGTAATACTTTTTACTGTCTGTCCAGATGGCCTCTCAACACTGTGCCCGGTGCGTGTTTGTCTGCGTTTCAGTTGCTGTGCTCTAAGGGCTGGAACAGTCCTTTATACTACTGGTGCTGTGAAGTCGCTGCTGTAAGGACAAAACGTGAATTCATAGGCCAATTTGCTGTCCATGTTGATGTGTGCAGTTGGACAGATGAACGGCATGTTTTACCCCAGTTAAGGGTGATGGTCCCGTGTGACAGTTACCTGGGTTACACATTAAATGCAAAAATCTGTGCTCATTTACGCCAGTCCCTAAGGGAGGAGCTGAAAGAGCATCAGAGAGCTGCAGCTTTTTAAGATTTTAAACATATAACCTGCTTGTTTGAAACCGTGGTTCAAGTCCTGCCTGCTGTTGTATGTGATAAATGTAGAGCTTTGTTTCCTGGCAGCGGCCTGCAACTTCGCATTGGCAGTTTCCCTCCCTGCGCTGCATGACCGCGTACTGAGCAGGTCTGCGTGCTCTGTCCTGGCAGCCATCGCACGAGGAAATGGACTTGCTGTGTCATAGCTATGAAGCTCCCAATTGCTTTTCTGGTAGGGTTTGCCTATGGTGTCTGTTGGCTCTGGCTGGAGCTCCTTGGGCAAGTTACCCGGATCCTCCTGCGATGCTGGGAGCAGACGAGGACGGGCTCGGAGCTTGGTCAGCAGTGCCGCAGGGGGATTCAAAGCAGGGATAGAGGGCCCAGGGAAGAGCAATGCCCTGGAGGTGCCTCATCGATGCTGCCGCATGCTCTGTGCCCTGAGATGCTTCTAGGGAGCACAAGTGTCCTGCAGGAGGAGCAAGCTGCCGCTTCCTGGCTTTTGTCTTGCTGCTCCTTTTGTCATGCAGCCAAAAGGGCTTGACAGAGACTAATAAAAGAGGCCCCTCTTTACACCCTGCTCATGTTGAGACCAGAATTGGTATGGGAAATGGTATTTTGGGGGTTCCTCATTTGCCACTTTGGTCTGTCAGCCGAGACGCGTACGGCTCTGGGAGCGTGGCTGGCTGCTATTGATTTTTAAGCTAGAACGAGCAAATACGGTCACTTCATATGAACCAGTTTTTAATCCCCTGGTTTATGAGTGGTAGAGCACTTATTTTACATTACCCACGTTTTCTCTTCCCTAATCTAACCCACTTTTTTTCACCCTTCCTTCAAAAACAGTGTTAAGTTACTTTTCCCCAGCCAGATCACAAAGGCCAGGCTGCTTTAGAGCCTCGCTACTGTTTTAAACACAAGATACGTAACAGTGTTCTGCAATGTTAGTGTTTTCAATGGTGGTTTGTTCTATGGAGACCTGACAAATTTCTCTGCAAAACCTGGGGTGCTTGGTAAGAAGCCGGACATGGTTTTACCTGTAGCTTGGCATAGGTATAGCTGTTTCTTGTAACCAACAATTCCTGCTTCCTCCTCACACTTAAATTAAAATGGACACTCGACTCTCAGACTATTCTGTTTTTTTTTTTCTTTTGATTTATTTTTTTTGTGGAGGTGGAAAGGGATGTTATTTTCTCCTGGGTTGCTGGACTGGCCACATCTCTGGTGCTGCCCTATCCTATTAGGAATAGGACAGAGCTTGATCTTTGGGCAAGATGTGTGAACTGGGTTCTCCAGGGACATCTTGTCAATCACAAATATCCTCCGTGCTGCTGCTTCAGGGCTGTCCCGCACACCCCTAACCTGTCCTGCTCCCTTTAAAAGAATCATCCAGAAGGTGTGTGTTAGAATTAGGCGTGAAGTAAGAGGCAGAGTGGAAAAACAAAACTTCACTAGGATGCCTTGAAGAATGTGCAGTCCTCATGTGGAGCTTTAATGTTGCTAAATCCAGAGGCATCAACTTCTGTGAGACAGCCCTGCTGCCATTCCCCCTCTAAATCTTGGGCATGAGATCGCTGGCCTTAGGACCCTGCTGCTGCAAGTGCATTTTCTCATGGCGGAGAACAGCAGCAGGGAAAAACTGAAAGGTGCCAAGGATGCTAGTATAAGCAGGAGTTGAAGAACATGGCATTTGAATAGCGTGGTGGTAGGGTTACAGGAGAAAGTTCTTAATATCTTGGAAAGTATAACACACACCTGCACTCAAATATTTTTTTAGAGAGTTGGGACTTCAGTGGGATCTAGTTCTTGTAACCTGAAGCAGATGCTGGGGTAGTGAATACACTTGGCTGTAGCAGTGACTTTGGGGCAGACCAGCACTCTCTGCATCTTCCCCCCCTGCCCTTAGGGAGGATGTCGTGCTGTGAAAGGCTCCCTTTTATAAAGCCTGCAGATTTTCTGCCTGCTGTAGATGTGAGGCTGGGTCTGGTTGTCTGGCAAGGGGGCCAAGTCTCTTATTTTGCTGCTTGTCTGTATGTTGTGTCTTGTCAAAGCCATGAGATTTCTGGCCCCCAGCACTCCTGCTGGTGCCTCGAAAGCTGTGTCAGTAAGGATTGTCTTCTGTTACCGCTAATCTGTCAAACCATGTCAAATTTGACAATCTTGTAACTAATTGCCATTGTATTTTCCAGTTGAGCAGTTTGACTGAACACAGCCACTCGCAAAAAGTTGAATAGCTGTTTTTCCACCTCCTGGGACAGAGAACTTGCTTTTTCCCCAGAATGAGTAAATGAAATAGATAATATTTGGGAACTTTGGATTTCTGACTCTTCCCTTCCTCAAAACGTCACCCTGGCCAAAGGTAACGTGGCAGGAGGGGATCGAGAGGGCACCAGGGTCCAGGTCACGTGAAGCGGACCAGCACTTGGGTGGTGCCCAGCAGCGGGCTCTGGTCTTGGTGTTTGGGTGTCTGCTGTACATCTCCCACCGGGCTGTCTCAGCTAGCCCTTCTCCGGCCCCAGAGCCATGGCTGCCTTGGGATGTCTCTTCTCAATCAGTGTTCACCATGCTGGTTTCTCTCTGTGGGCCTATGTGCACAAGTGTGTCTCTTACTGGCTTTTTTTTTTTTTTTGCTTTATGTTTAGCCAAATAAATGCAAAAGTAATTTTACTCGATGTGTGTTAGATCTCTTCTGTCCCAGAGCAACAAGCTCTCATTCTGATCTCCTCAGCTGCCATCTTAGCAATGGTTTGAGTGAGAAGATGCTTTGCGGGGAAAAAAAAATACCCAGAGGTTTCTACAATTCATCGTCATTCCTGATGTCTGTGCCCACCTCTGTCCTAGGTGAAGAGCAGGTACTGTTGAAGGAACAGATCCTGGGCAAGGCCAAGTAAAGTAGCATTAACTAATCACCTGTGTTACAAAGGCATTTCAAGGCTCCTTCCCATTTCCTCAGTTCCAGGCTGACAGCTGTGAACGTTCCCCCTGTGCTGTCAGGAGCAGTCCCTTCCGTGGGTCCCTTGCCCTACGAAAAGAGCCGTGTGCTCACGCACTTCCCTGGCCGGATATCTCTGGGGAAGATGCAGCTGCCCTAGGATTGCCCTGACCACCTGAACCAGGCTCGACAACTGGCAGGACCCAGCCTGCAGCACTGCTCTGCCAGGCCTCTAGGGTCCATGTCGCGGATGGCATTCAGCATCTCTTCTGCCCCAGCCCACCTGTGACAGACCCATGTCATGGCTATATCATTCTGGACTCCATCTTTCTCCTCTCTGTACCCTCCATGTGAGGGAATCACCCATCCCAACCTGGACAGGAGAAAACCTGAGCCCGCAGTTGCCAACAAAAGATTCATGTAGAAATTTATCTTTATTCAGTGCCAGACAGAGTCCCCTGGGCTTGAAGGCTATTTCACAGATGGTCTTTGGTTTTTGGCCCTCAAGTTTCAGACCCTTTTAGCTTGTGCTGTGATGCCCTTTTCCCCTCTGTGTTACTTGCTCCCAGAAGCTTCCCAGGGCTGTACGAGGAGGAGGTGGATGGGGAGGGTGAGCCAGCACCTCTGGCCTTGCTGTGCTCCTTGGCATCATCCTTTGCTCCTTCCTGCTCAGACCTTGATGTTGGTGTCTGAAGATGCAAAGCTGATGGGCTGGTAGCCTGGTTTGTCATCCTGCTTGCGGTAGTATATCCGGGTCACCACAGCTATGATGAACGTTTGCAGGATTATCAGCTGCATGTTCATCTCTTAAGTGAGAAAAGAAGGGTTATTTGAAGCTGCCTTCATCAACCATGCCTGTTCTCTGCTCCCTGCCGTGTGGTGGAGGGGGCATGGCAGGGACCAAGTGACTCCAGTCCCTCGTGTCGCTACTCACGCTGTGACCTGGCCTTGGAGGAGAGGGGTGGCCAGCAGGCAATGCTGCCACTGTTGGCCAGGATGCTGAAGATGGAGGGCTGCAGCGCTGTCAGGATGAGGAGAACCTGCAAGCACAAAGACCCGAAGTGATGGGTGGCGCAGATGAATTGCTGCTGTTCACCTTTCCCTGCAGCCAGCCCCCACGCTCCTGCAGCCAGGCATGGATCTCACCTGCAGGCAGCTCCCGTTCCACCTCCCGTTCTCCCCACATATCTCCTGATTTGCTTCCAGCAAGTTCATGCTGCAAAAAGCTCTTCCTAGTCAAGATGATAAGCAGGGCAAAGGGTTACCTGGAAGCAAGCAAATTTGGCCCCAATGTTCTGCTCTTTCAAATGCAACCTGGCCTGCCGGAAGAGGATGCCCAGGGCCCACAGGCCAAAGATGGTGGAGACCCCCAGGAGCGTGTTGATCCAGAGCGCCACGCTCTTCTCTGAGATCTGAGGGAGGCAGAAAACCCATCTGGGACTGACAAACCTTGAATGATGCTGGCCGTGGTTGCAAGGCATGGCCCAGCAGAGGTCCAGCCATGCAGGTTGTATGCTCTCTGTCTCAGAGGTGGCCCTGCCTGTCCCCACACCCTGGCACTCACGTCAGCAGGGTTGTAGTTCCCGTCGGCAGCCAGGACCAGCCCCACAAAGACAGCAACCGCCTTGAAGATGGTGTACTGGAAAGTCCCCAGCAGCAGCAGTTGGAGCTTTCTCCTGGCACAGCAAGAGAGGCCTGTGACTTCCCAAGGTGCCCAAGCCCCTGCCTGGGGCCTTCTCTTCCTCACTGGCAGGAGGAGGGCCAAAGACAAGGGTATAAAAGCACTGGGCTGGCATGGCCTTGCCAGTGTCCCAAGACAGGCTTTTTTCTCTAGCTGGTCCCAGAGAGCCCCTGAGCTGCACCAGTGCCCTCAACCCCGTGCCTGGAGCTGCCCCAACCCTTGGCCTATCTGGTGCCCTGCCTCACCTGCTCATGGTGATTTGGGGCAGGCAGGGACAGCAGCAGCAGCAGGGGCCGGTGCTGATCACCATGGGCACATCCTTCAGGATGCTCAGCACTGCCTCCTTGCCCCCAAAGCCCTCCACCATGATCAGCATCAGGAGGTAGAAGCAGACGGCAAAGTACCTGGGAGGAAGGGCAGCAAGCACGGTCAGGCACCATCAGCGCCTCGCTCACCCGTGCCCTCCGGGGAGGCAGTACTCACGCCGTGGTCGCCATCTCCACCACCATCATGGAGCGAGGGATCCAGAGCCCAAAGCAGCTGACCACAGACACGACCTGGGGGAGACGTAGGCTTTGCACAACGGTGCTCCTGCCTCCTGAAAGCTCGGACCCCTCGAGCAGCCTCGGCCCCATGGCGCCTGCCTGCCCGCCTGCTGCAGAGTGATGCTCGCTGCCACCCGTGGCTGGAACTCACCGTAGGGGCTGAGCTGCTCCAAAGGAGAGTCTTCATCTTGATGGGGCAGCGGATCTTGCGAGTGAGGTAGAAGGCCTCTTCCACGAAGATGGCGACCGACAGCAGTGTCAGGAAGGTGGCCAGGCCCATGATGGAGAGTTCGACTACATCCAGCTCTGCCGGGGAGGGGTGAGAAACCAAGAGCCATCCCATCCCCCCGGGGGCCACCACAGCAGGGAGCTGCCAAGCGAACCACTGTTCCGCACCCACCTCAGGGCCCCTTTTTGGCACAGCTAGTGGCTGGGCTTGGGGAGGAACCAGCTGTGGCCTCCTCCTCT